CAGCTGAGCTCTCCTGCTCTCTCCCCCTCCCACAGCAGCAGCACAAGCACAGGCAGGGGCTGCACTGCTGGGCTGGACTAACCTGCATGCTCTGCAAAGCCAGAACTAACCCTGCACTGCACTGGGGTCTGGGCAGGCTCGGGGCATCAACCAGAACTTCAGGCATTTGGAAGGGGCAAAAGGACTTGCAGGTCCTCTGGGAATGTTCCTTCTGTGCTTTGTTGCGTGAGAACAAACTGAATGGCATCCAGAAGCTGTAACTAATCCAGCTGGAATTGTTTTGGTTTGCAAGGTGGCAGATACATTGTTAGCAATAAGAAATATTTCATATTTTTAGGCGTATTGTAATTTTAAAACTTTCTTTCATGACAGAAATTCCACAGTTGTTTTAGTTCTTTGTTGTTGTCTTCCATACCATCCTTAATTCCACCAGAATCTAAAGAATTCTCATTTCTCTTCTCAGTACTTGGGCCTTTTATCATCTCCATCTCCCATATATGTCCTGACCTTTTTAACATCTTCCCCTTCCTGCTGCAAGTTTTCTTCAAGCCTCTTCCACAGTTTAACAGCCAAATCAGTTTTCTGCCTTGCCATTAGATGCATAATTGAACTCTTTTTCCCCCGTTTGGGGAAATTTTTTTGCGTTACTGAAAATTTACATTGCTCTCCATTAACTTTATATTTTTTTGGCAACACTGGTCAGATCTTTGCCAGTGGCACCTGTGTATTTTAGTCTGGTGTTGGTAAGGAGGCCCCTTTAAAGCCTCCCAGTGTGGATGCTGAGTGTACTGGCATTTTCATCTTAAGGGGCTGTCCCGGTGTGAAAAAGTGCCTTATTTTTGCTTTTCTAATAGTCTTTTTCCCTCTAATCTGACCGTTTGGGTCAGCTGTTGCAGTTATTGTAACCACTGGGGTTTCATTGTCTCTCCATTAATTTCTTTTACAGAAAGGGACTCCAGGTGCTCTCTTCCCCTCCCCACTAATTGAAGTAGCTGTCCCTGTAGCCTGTGGCTCTTTGCTGCTCCTCAGCATTGGGCTCATATTCATGATTCTCACGGCAAGGAAGAGGCGCCAGTCCGAGGGGACCTACAGCCCGAGCCAGCAGGAGGTGGCAGGAGCTCGGCTGGAGATGGACAGTGTGCTAAAGGTGCCACCCGAAGAGCGGCTAATTTAGGCCCTGCCGGGACAAGGAGATGCACCTGCAAGGTCTGCTCGGACCTTGAGCTCTTCCCAGCATTGCAGCAGCAGATCCACCCCATCCCAGTTTCCTTAAGGCCTGGGCACGACGACATGGACGTTCCGTACGAGGCAGCCGCTGCCTGAGGGAGCTGCCCCGGCTGGCCCGGCCACCCCGGGGCTCCCAAGGAGCCTCTGCCCTCCCTCCTGCCCGGCCCTGGGCACGGGGCAGGTGCTGGAGTTGCTCTGGCTCCATCCGCTGCCAGGCAGAGGTGGCCCCGTTCAATCTGCTTCCCAAGGCAGGGAGGAAGGAGCCCTGGGCAGGCTCAGCTCTGGGCCCTGCTCAGGAGCTGTGGGGAGGGGGCTCACGGCTGGTTTGTGGAACTGTTTGTGGCCTTTGCCAACAGCTGAGAAACACTCCCAACTCTTTCAGCTCAGGTGTGTGAGGTTCTCAGTCTTCAACAGCAACAGCAGCTGTGACCTCCTGCCCTGTGACAGCCCCTGTGTTACAGGGAATTGTCAGGAATTACAGCAGTCCTTGTACAAATCCATGTGGGATGACGTGGTGCTGTTAGACATTCCCACGGTACCGTGCAGGGAAGGTGCAGGCAGCGCTCCGGGGCCTTGGGGCAGTGCTGGAGCTGCCACGTGCTGGACTCTGGGGGGGTGTGTGGAGGGGAGAGGGGAGCAGGAAAAGGGTCACCAGCCTGCCCTGCATTCCTTGGGCCCTGTGTGACAGGAGGGGACAGGGAAGGGGGGAGCTCCTGGCCTGCAGAGCTGTCGGTGCAGCTGCAAGGGAGGTGCTGGGCCTGGGGCTGAGGGCGGTGAGAGGCCGTGAGGGGAAGCTCTGAGTAACTCCCTGTTCTACCACAGCAGCGAGTGTGGGCTCACCTCAGCCACTCCTCCGTGGTGGGAGCCGTGGGGGCGGCGGGGGCTGCCCTGCTCCTGGTGGTGTTGGCAGCCACGGCCATCGCCATGAAGAGGAGGAGAGCGACGCAGGGCACCTACAGCCCCAGCCGGCAGGAGAAGGACGGGGCTCGAGTGGAAATGTGGAACGTCATCAAGATGCCCCCGACAGAGCGGCTCATCTGAGCCCGGGTCACCACGGCCGTGTCTCCTCGGAGTCCCTGGGAGCTGCTGCAGCCCCTCTGTGTGTGCAGGACAGGCCTGGCTCCAAAGCTGCTCCCCCGCTGCGCCTGCTCCCACCGCAGGGCATCACTGCACACACAGTGCGGGTTAAACTGCTTGGGCAGGAGCAGCAGGGGGAGGAAACGACCCTTTGTGGAGGGGCTGGGGAGGAGAGGGGGGGAGGGGACCCAGACCCAGGGACAGAAGCGGGAGCTGTCACAGCCAGGGCCCCTGGGCTCCCGCGGGCACCGGGGGTCGGAGCCACAGGGGCTGTCACTGCCCTGCAGGCAACAGAAAAAACACCCTACAAGTAAGTGAGGCAGGTCCAGTTAATGGGGATCGAACCACTGCATTCAGAAATAATGTGAATAATATGGTCGTTTCAAAAAACATGTGCCTGTGGCTCCTCTGCAAGGCTAAGCCAGGTGAGTGAGTGGTGGGAAATCCTTCCCAGAGCTGCTGCTGCCCCTCCCTGTCTGGGCACTCCCTGGCTGTACATCCCACTGTGCTGGACAGGGCTGCTGGAGCTTTCCTTGAGACCAGACCAAACCACAGGAGTATCTGAAGTGCCTTTCTGAGCCTGAGTTGCCAGTTACAGTTTAACTTTGTGAAAGGAGGATGTTTCTGTGTAGAACAACTGAGCATCAAGTAGTACCTGCTGGGTGAGGAGGGGAGAAGGAAATAGTTGTAGATCCTACCTCTGTGGACAGACAGTTTGGGCTTGTCAGTACAGGGGAGTGGTGCTTAGTGAGCCAAACTAGTGCCCTTTGACCCAACCAGGGTTGGTGTTGTAGTGACACAACATTCACCTTCCACTGCCCCGAGAAGGGCTTTGATTCTGTGGCTTCTCCTCTGTTACTGCTTTAGCTGCTGAATGTGCTTTTCTTCTTCATATAAAACACCTGGCAGAGCCTGTGGCAGGAAATGCAGCAGAGCAGCACAGGTGAGGTCTGAAGTCAGTAGTGTTTCAGGATAATCACTGCAACTATCAATGAAGAATATTTTAGAACACAGTGTCTGCTTTTTAATCTCAAAAATACTGTTAGTAAGCAGGGTGGGAACCTGCCCACTGTAGCTCGTTGCCACCAGAAGAAAAGGCTGATTATTCTGGTACACTTTTGGGTTTATTTATTTTTTTTACTTTGACTGTAAATGTTTCTAGTTCCAAGCAAAGGGAAGAGCACAGAACTACTGACCAGGTGTGAATGTTTAAGAACAGGTGTGTCTGCTAAGAACAGGTCTCTGCACTGAGGCGGCTGCTGAGAGAAGAATGAAAATGTTTGAAAATAGAAAAAAATGAACGAGTGGGAGATGATATTTTGTCTCCAAGCTCATGTTCCCTCTAATACTGAGGAGGAGTTAAAAGAACAAGTGGTGATCCCACCCGGCTGTGTTTGGGAAGCAGCTGGATGTGGTAGTGCCAGAGATGCCCTGACTGCAGCTGGGAGCTGGGTCCTGCTTGCATTTGTGTACTGGCAGTGATGCTGCTGTCACTGCCCACGGGACTGGTGTGCTCTGTGCTTCCTCCAGCTCTGCTCAGGGAGCCCCAGCACCCTCTGAGAGCAGAGACAGGGCCCTGTCCCAGCCCCCCTGGCAGTGGGATGTGGGGAGGGGGTGAGGGGGTGTCCCAGCAGTGTCTGTGCACAGGAGGCTCCAGCAGAGCCCTCCTGGGGCAGCAGCACTGAGGGAGCCCGGGCTGGGCTGGGCACAAACAAGAGCTGCCCTCGGCCCCAGGGTGTCCCCAGGTCAGGGCAGGGGGTCACTGGCACAGCCCTGGGGTCCCCTGTGCTGGAGGCAAAGGTTGCTGTGGTGTCTCCAGCCCATCCCGAGCTGGAATGACCCAGGGCAGGCTCAGGGTCTGGGGCTCCTGCCAGGACAGGTCCTGCTGCTCCACCCCACAGGTGGGGTTCAAACCACAGGAAAAACAGGAGCAGGGGCTGAAAGAACCCCTGTTCCTCCAGGTGTTTTGGGAACACCAGCCCTGTGTTCTCAGCTCACTGAGCTACTGCAAGGACAGGGCACAAAGCCCAGCCCGGGCTCTGTCTGTGCCAGGCAGCAGCTCCTCAGGGCAGCAAAGCAGCTGCTTGGATTTCGAGCACCCAAAGCCAGTAGTAGCAAAGGTGTTAAAATCCTCTTGTCAGTGTCTTGAGCATTTCTGCAAAATAATTTATGGAGGGTTTGGGTTTTTTTCAATAATGAACTTTCTTTTGATATTTAATTTTTGAATATATTTTTTCACAAAATTGGACTTGCTGTAGTTAATGATCATGATCCTGATTTCTTTTGTAACTGTAAATTTTATAATTTGTATATAATTAGAATGTCCTTCATCAGAAATTTACAATAAAATTTGGTTAAAACCAGAGCTGGTTATGCTGAGTTGTGGCTGTTTTTCCCACAAACTCCAGAGAGGTTTGGTTTTCTTTTTTTTTTTTTTTTAAATAAACTTATTCCTAAGGGCAGCTAAAATAAGAGAAATGGTACCAAACACAAAGTGGGGAGAGGAACATGGACAGAGTTGAGGATAATGTCTCTGATGAATAGTATCAGGAACACTGATTTAGTGAAAACATCAAAAATCCTTCTATGTCAGACCTAGAGCTGGTTCCCAGCCTGGCCTGCTCTCCCAGACAAGCACTGTTAGGAATGAATCGTGTTAGGAATTCCTGAGTTTAAATAAGACAAAACCCCCTCAATACTGCCCTAGGGAGAGTTTGATTTCTTTATTACGCGACACCCAAAAATCTCCTGCTTGCAAACCCTATTCCAGAAATGAGGAAAGTCCCAAACTCCTTGTCCTCAGAGGATCTCAGAGGTGCAAAATAAAGTGAGGGTGATAAATGCCATTTCAGTGCAATGTTAATTCTCTTCAGTGCCTCAAAACTGACTTAGAAAATGATCCAAGTGCTTGTCCAAAACTCAGTGGCATAAAATGATCCATAATATGGACAAAGTAACCAGAGATGGACATGAACTGCAGTGGGACTGAGTGGATTTAAACATCTGTACTGGGCTTCCTCAGTGTCTGATCCCTGTGTGACATTAACAGTTCTAGCACAGAGCCTGTGAAGGCAGGACTGACTGTCCAGTGCCCATTCACATCCACCAGGAGCCAGAAAGTTTGATCATCCAGCTCACAGCAAAGGAGCTCTGAAATTCCACACTGAATTATAGAACATTCATAGTCTGAACTGTAAAAAATAAAATGGAACTGTTATCTTAGACTTTAAATATTTTACTATGCAATACTAAACCCATCTGTCTTCCAACACAAAAAGAAAATACAAATCCGAGGGAATGGCTTGTCAGAGGAACAGCACTGTACAGAAACAGAATATTCCTGGAATTCTGTGGTCTCTCCCAAGCCGGTGCCATTTCAGCTGTTGAGAATATTTTTCTTTTGTACTGCCCAGACCCGAATGCACAGACAGCCATTCCCATTCCCCAGAGTAAGAAAACTTCCAAGATTACATGAATAAAATAGATACACTGGAAATCAGGTAAAGCTTTACAAGGATTTCCCCACGTGTCCAAGGTGATTTCCTTTGGCCAAGGCTCCGTGGTGACGATTCCCTCTGTGAGTGACAGCTTTACACCCCAGTGTCCCAGACCCAGCCCAGGACAGCACCTCTGCAGTGAGGCAGGAGGAGCAGAGACAGCCCTGCAGGGTGCTGGGGGTCTCCCCAGAACTCCACTGGTGCAGAGGGGGCTCCCAACACCCCGTGGGACATGCCCTGTCCTTCCCTTTCCCTTTCCATGTCCCGGGAGCAGCACACGGCGGGTCCAGCCCGGGGGGCTGAGGGGTCCCAGCCCTACAGGGCAGTGCTAGGGGTGTCCTGCTGCCCCCCTGGATCCCCCTCTGGGACACCCCCAGCACCACCTCCCACTACACCTGGGGAGCTGGGAACTCTGGGACCCCCCATTCTGCCCTGTCTTTGTAATAATCAAGTAAGATATTGTTACATTCCATTCCTATACTGCCATTTATATTATTGACAGATAATATTAAGATACACATATATAAGAACTAGGATACTCTTTATGGCCTCTATTTTCTGATGTATTAAACAAAAACAAACTTAAAAAAAAACCCCAAAAACCAAAAAACAATTGCTGGTGTTTCCAGTTTCCCAACAGAGACGCAGGACCAAACCCCGAGCAGCTGCTCTGTGCTGTGGTTTTGAGGCAGCAGGGCCTTGGGACAACTGTGCCCCTGCAAGCCCCGGAGTCAAAGCCCCATCCCACAGCACCACCTAAAGAGCTTCTGGGTTCCAAGACAGGACAAAGGAGACCCTGATGGATTAATTTAGTGCAGCCCACAAGCCAGGTTTGTTTGCTGCACTTTGCCTGTGGAAACAAAATAATATTGTCTTTCTATGTGTAGTGCCAGAAAAACTGAGGGCCATTCCCAGAGGCAGGAATGAGCCCCAGCACAGTGTGTGCCATGTGCTAAGGACTCAAAACACAGGGAAGGAGTAACTCCTGCATCAGTAGAACTGCCTGAAAAGCTGTGTGTGGAAAACCCAACCCAGCCCCCTTCCCTTCACGCTTTGGTCAGTGCAGGAATCCCGGGTTTGTGGTGGGGAGGGAGGGAGCCGTGACAGGGACGGGGACAACGGGGGACTCTGGGCAAAACCCCCTCGTGTGTGAGTTGCAGCTCAGTGATGGTCCTGCAGCTGTCCTGGCTCAGCCTTCTGTAAAAGAAATGCTTGGTTTATGCTGGCTCAAAAAAACCAAAACCCCTCTGTCACTCCCAAAGGGACACCAAGGCCATCGAGTGTCACTCAAAGGTTTCCCATCGCTTTCTGAGCTGTTCCACCTTACCTGGCGTGGGTGACACGTCCTGCTTGGTCTTTTTTAACAGATCTTCAAATGGATCTTTTGTCTCCTCAGACTTTGAGGACAGTAACACTGCCTCCAAGCCCTTGGCTGGCCTGGCAGGGAGCAGAGGGGGTTCATTGGCCAGGAGAGCCAGAGCCTGTTTGGGATCTACCTTGGTGCTGGCCTGGCCCACCTGTAACGTTGGGGGCTTGGGGGGCCCGCTGGGACACGCTGCCTGCAGGGAACTGGCTGCAGAAGGGCTCTGCAGGAGCAGGGAACCAGCTGCTGGCACAGCTGGAGCCTGGCTGAACAGGTTTGGCATGGACAGAGTTGACAGGTTGGGCTGAGGTCTCTGTGGTGGGTAGAAGCCACCGGGTGTTATGAAGCTGGAGCTGTAGGCGTGACCTAGGGAGGGGGTGAAGGAGCCCCTCGGGGGTCTGACCAGGGACACTGGAAGGGCTCCTGGCAGTGTCTGGGTGAAGGGATTAGGGGATGCCTGTAGAAAAGGTGGTGGGGCTGGGGAAGGGTAGCCCAGGGGCTGGACAAATGGTGCAGCTGGAGGAGGCACAAAGTCACTTCCCCCCAGGCCAAAGGCAGCCGTGGGGGCCGGGCTGTGCAGGCTGGGGGGCCCTCGCGGGGCCCGGCCCTCCCAGCCCGCCGTTCGCAGCGGGTCCAGCAGGTCCAGCAGGAAGTCACTGTCCTTACCTGCACCTTCTGCCTGCACCTTGACAGGCTGGAGCATCTCGGCAGCACTGCCAGCACTGGACAGCAGCTGAGATGGGTGAGGGCAGTAATTCCCAGACTGCTGGATTTCAGGCTCTAAGGACACGTGTCCCGCTCCAAAGGGCTCCGGGATAAGATCAGAGACCCGGCTGGGAGTGGGGAGGGTCTCCCCTGACCCCGCTGCAGTCTGGTGCTTGGACGCCCGGGGTGCTGGTGGTGGTGGCACTATCCCCAGTTCCGGAGTCTTTCTTCCCTGTGGCCTCGGAATGGTGATGTTCCCTTGAATGGCAGGATTGGATTCATCCTTCTCTGTGGGAGCCAGACCACTGTCCCTGCTCCGGGGTCTCCTGGTGACTGGGGGCATGTTTCCCAGGGCACTCAGGGACCTTTCTGGTGAGCTCTGGGAATACTTGGTGGGAATGGCCATATCATCATGGCCCATACTCCACAGCTTGTTGTAGGGGTGGGACAGCTTCATGGTTGGCACAATCCTGCTCCTCTCGGACACACCCAAGTCCATTCTCTGCAAGAAAGCATCAGAAATGTAACTTTGACTGCCCAGAACACATATTATTATTATTATTATTATTATTATTATTATTACTACTACTACTACTACTACTACTGAGATATACTCAACAACACAAAGAGGTTCCCCACGGGCTGAGGGAGGCTCAGCCCGGGTTGTGCAGCCCCAGCCCTCAGACCTGGTAGTCGAAGGTGCAGCGCTGCTCCGCCTCCTCCGCAGGCACCCGCAGGTCTTCCAGGCTCTTGGCTTGGCTCAGAGGCTGAGGCTGGGACTCCACCTCTAGGTTTGGGAAGATGTCCTGCAGGAGGTTGATGTCGGTGGCCGTGCTGGCGAGCAGGGGGCTGGGGGGCAGCGGCTCCCGGGGTCTCTCGGGGCTGCCCCGCTCCGGCTCCTCCCCATCCGCGCTGTCCGACTCCTTGAGGGCGCGGTACGGCTGGGGCCTGGCAGGGACAGACAGCACGGTGGAAAGGGCCATCTCTGAAATGTTTTTGTGATAAACACTATTCCTAAGGAGCTGGGTGAGTTACAGAAAGCTCCTGGTGCCCGATCCGGCCCAAGAGCCCACACAGGGCAGGATGTGGGCAGTGCCCCTGGGCAGGGGGACATGCAGAGGGGCCCTGGCACCCGGGGTGTTCAGGCAGGCAAGGCCCGGTGGAAGTGCTCAGAGGGAAGCTGTGCTCATGCAGGTACAGCCAGGCCGGGCAGGGAGCTCTGGGGGCAGGGATAACGGCTGCCAGCTCTCCATGCTCCCCTCAGGCCGGGCATGGCCTGTGTTTGCAGGCACTTCCAGCCTCCTGCTCTGAGCCAACTCAGCACACAACATAATTCAGTGTTTTCCTGCAATAATTGGGAACACTGTGCAGAGTTCCAATGATTTCACTGGTGTCATCTTATCAAGAAACAGCACAATCCATTATGGAGACACCTCCTTTACATTCCTAGCCCAGGCTGAGTTAGCAGGATGCTTCTCTTGCACAAACCTCAGCAAAAAAAATGAACCAGCACATTTGCATTTTGGTGTGTACAGAGAACAGCAGCACGATGTGCATCCAATTAATAACAGCAAGTGCCACACATGGCTGTGGGGATTGGCACTTGACTGGCAGCTGGTTGTACTGTGGCATTTAAACAAGCTTTCAATTAAAAGAAAATATTTGTGAGACCTGCAAAAACAGATCCTATGGAAGAACCCTCCTCCTCTTTCCATATTTTATCATAATGCATCTATATCATGCAAATTCCCAAAGAGCCCAGCTCACTGCACTCCCAGCACACACAGCAGGCACAGCCAACCCCAGGAGTGTGAGACTGCAGGTACAAGGCAGACACTGATGGGACATGGCCTTGGGAAGGGGGATCTCAAACCCTGGTCGTGCCTTCAGTCTCACCTGTGTGCTCTGCACTGAGTCACACTGCAAACCCCCTGAGCAACGTTCTGCAAACAGGACTGGCCTCCTCCACCCCAAACATCATAGGGGAACATTTTTGTGACCCTTTACTACTGAACCTCCCCATCCCACCCACCTGCAGTCCCGTCCCTTCCCGTCAGCCTGACCCTGCCCTCTGCAGCACACACTGGATGTCAGGACCTGCAGACCCCCTGTCACACTGGAGCCTCCCTCTCCAGCCTGGTCCAACCAGCTGTGGCCAGCAGGCTCCAGCTGCTCCAGTGGGACCGGGATCCACCTTCCAGCTCCTGAACTGCCTGGATCTGGCACCACACGGATTTCTGAGGCAGTGGCTCACAGTGCCCTGGAACCTCTTCTGCAGGTTCTGGTCAAGCCAGTGACTGCATTTGTTAAACTGTACCACAAGTTCCAGTTCAAAAGGTGGATACAAACAAACCCCACAAACCTCCTGTTCCCTGTGTAATTGTCAGTCTGTACCCACTGCCCTGGGAGGACACGTGCACGGGGAGTCCCCAGGGATGTGGGACCTGACAGACCAGAGGCTGGGATCAAACAGGTGACGCTGGAGAAGGCTGGTTACTGCCCTGAACCAGGGCTCACAGGACAACCAAAAAACACCGGAACAAGGCTCACAGGACAACCCAAGATCACAGTAGCACCGCACAAAGAAGAGTGGCAGAAGGCCTGGACAGGAGCACGAGCAGCACGTTGGAACAAAGGACAAATGGCAGGGGGACATCCCACAGAGCTCCAGTAGGCTGTGGGCTGCTGCAGTGGTTCATGCAGGAGGATGCTTTTGCATGCTGCTCAACACCAAAACAAACAAGCAGGAGAGATGCTGGACATTCACCAAGCACTGTAAAGAGACCACAGGAGCATTCCCAAAATGCCAGTACAGGAGCAGGCACCCTGAGCAATGCAAAACCCACTGTTGGCAGCCGGCACGAGCACAACCAAAGAGTAAAGGATAGACCATTCGAAAGGAGCGGAGAAGAAAAAGTTTTCAGAGAAGCCAGAGACAGGATCCTCTTCCTGCTGAAACTCATCATCAGAGGAGTCCTCCGAGAGGAAGACAGTATAGTGTCGCATGGGCTTTACCAGGCTGGGGACAGGAAGAGAGAAGGCAGTTACCGAGTGCTTGCAGCTCCTGAGGAGAGAACCCGAGACCTGGAGGCTCCAAACCCCCCTGAACTGGCTGCCTGCACTGCCCAGGACTCACAGGGGCACAAACCACAGCTCTGCTACACAGGCCAGGGTGCCATGGGGTCGGGAAGGGCCCTGTGAGCTGCAGTCACAGCACAGTGCAGAGGTGCCACACAAACCCATCTCCCACCACATTCCCTGGTGTTGGGCATCTCCTTGTTCTTCAGACACACGGCTCGGAGCTCTGGCTGCAAGCAAACACCCATCACATCTCCCTGCTGCTCCACAGACACTTACACTGGCATTAGCCTGGCATCCACAGGAGCTGACTCCAGGTATCAGTTCCTACCTGTACCTGTTTTTCATACTAAAACTGCTTCACTCTAGAATAAAATCAAAACTGCCCAAGGATGGATATGAAACATCCAGTATACGTTTCTTTCCTCTCTGGTAAACTGAAAATCATTTCTTAAAGATTAGCTCAGAAAAGGAGAAGTTGGACACTGCCACTGCCAATGAATGTTTATTCGCAATCAGGACAGAGCTAATTAATACAAGGTCTCTAACAGGTGGCAGTGGCTGCAGCTGATGGTGTTAAATCAGCCTGCCTTACTCCATGAAAGCTGGGGCATTGCTATGCTTTCCCCTCTCCTGCTGTAACAGGTATCCAGGGGAAAGGAGGGGAGGCCACTGCAGTGGGAACCATTGGTTAGAACATTTTTTTAATTTTTTTTTTCTTTTTAGAAAGTGACTCTGATTAAAAAAAAAAATAAATCAATTTACATTAATAAAAGGCTCTACCTAAAATAAAGCAGAAAGCAAAGACACCTAATAAATACTCGTGTTTTGAACTCAGATACACGTCTTTGTGTCTTAGGAGAGTAAGCTACCATTTAACATGAGTCCAGAAAATCTAATGTGATGTGACACTGAATTTCCACATAGATATATATAGATATAGATATAGATATATATATACAGGAAAAGGGAGAGGGAAGGGGAAGAAGGAAAGGGGAAGAGGGAAAGGTGAAGTGGAAGGGAAAGGGAAAAGGGTAAGGGATAAGGGAAGGGCCGTGTCCGTGCCCCAGCGCAGTCCCCGCCCCGCACAGCCCGGGTGTCCCTGCGGCGGTGACAGCGCTGACAGCGCCCGCTCCCGTAAATACCGTGTCAGAGCGGCGCCGGCACCGCCGCCACGGCGGGCTCCCGCTTAATGAGGGAGATCTGCATCTCGGCAGCTTTTTTCATGTGTCAGGATGCATGGACAAATCAGCGGCACATCACGCTGGCCAAAAATGAAATGCTGACAAATGTAGATATTTCAAATTTAATTGACACCTAAATGTACTTGAGATAGAAAAAAAATACGTACAGAAAACGGGAGTGCAGGATATGGGAATTAATAAGGAGAATTCTGCGATAATTTTAAAGGATGTTTCAGTTATGGGAAAATTAAATTTGTGTATTTGATTACAGTGTTGCTCTTTCCTGAGGACAGGCATTATGGCACAAAGGGGTCTATGGACTTGACATTATCCTCCTAAAAAGAGCTTCCCAAATCTAAGGGAGAATAATTTTTTATTGGTATAGTTTTGTAAAGAACAGCCATACAGGAGCTCTAGGGAATTAAGGAATCTGTGCCTCTTAGTGAAATGCAGAGAACGAGGGATTTGGATGCATGGGCTTTTTCCTGCTGGTATGAAATAAGAGATTTGGGACTGAGGGGATTACCTGGGAACTCTTCCACCTGAACACAGCTCAGACCTACCCCTGGAATCCCTTCCTGCAGATCCTGAACACTATCAGAGCTCCTTGCTTGCAGTGAGGCCATGGAAAACCTTCCCATCCCCAGATGCTGTGTGGGGGAGCCCTGAGAGCCTGGTTACACCTGGAATTTAATGTGCCTCACGAGCCTGCACCATCCAGCACAGCACAACTGACTCCATCCCAAATGCTGGTGATGCCCAGCACGGCCCTGCAGCCTGTTCCCCCGGACACAGGGAATGCAGCAGCTCCTGTGCCAGTGCCCAGGGCTGGGGCAGGGCCATAATGACCTGTCACAGCACCCCAGGGCCTCTGACACCCGGTAATTGGGAGCCCGACCCTCTGATTGCCCCGTCCCATTTCCTCCCGCTCCACAGGCCCTGGGAGCCAGCTGGGAGACATCCCAGAGCACTCTGGAGAGCCTATTCCACAGCTAATAGGAAATCTCGCTGTGGTGTAAAAGGGAGCTCTCAGAAATCTGCCTGTCTGCTGAAAATGCAACACCTTATTTCTGTGACCAGCTCATTTGTGTTTAAGGAGGCACAGCCCAGTGTCAGGGCTGCCCTGGCTGGTAATGCAGCATTTCCTGAGCTCTCATCTGCAAACTCTTCCTGTTACCTTAGAGCTAGAAAAGCTTTTTAAAAATTATAAATTTTAGATTAAGGACAAATTTTTAAGAATCAAACATCACAAACCTTGAGTTATTGATACAATTCTAAAGAAATAAACTTTCTATTGAAATAGAAGAAAAAATCACTGACAATTCTGACTCTTCTAAACACACTGGTTTAACAACAGACATGAGCCACGATCTTGGGTGTTCTTTGCAGTCACTGCTCCTGCCCCAGTGTGCTTTAATTGATTAGAAAATGAGCACAGACACCCCCAAAACAATGCTTTCCTTTTATACATACTAAAAAAATTAACTCAGGTAACTAAAGATATAAATTTCCTCACCTCCAACGCTACCAGGTAACACAAGTGAAAATATATATTGTGGTGTATAAATAGTATGGTTAAAATTCATGTTTCTGTTAATTTGTGGTCTGATGGTGGCAGGAACTGAAGATGCACGTTAGCAGTGAGCCCCCTGGAATGGCAGCAGCTTTGGAACCCAAAGTGCAGAACCCTCCAGATGAACACGCAGAAATGTGACACTGATTCAATTATCCTCCACCTCCATGCAGATCAAATAGTAAGGAAATGCTTTCAGTTTAAAAATCCCTGTCACCTCAGAGCAGGGCCAGCACGGGCCCCTTGCAGGCTCTGCATCTGCTCCACCAGAGGGCAACCAAATTCCACTGGAAAACGGCAAATAACTGCTGGAAAACGGCAAATAACTGCTGGAAAACGGCAAATAACGCTGAACAGAGACCGTTTGCTCAGGTAAGAGCCAGGGCATCTCCCCACCTGGAGAGGCTGGGAAAAGCTGCCCGTGCTCTTCACTCTGGGGGGTGAGGGACACCCAACCAAAAGGCACAGTCCTTAAGCTCCCCAGATTCCCAGCTGAGGGGTGGAACCTCCTTACTGGGACCCTTAAGAACTGCAGCTAATGCCAGGCTGTGCCCAGCAGAACTTGGTGCTGGGACCTTCAGCTCGTGAGCAGCTGAGCAGCCACAACCCCAGAGAACCAACAACTGCAGCTCCCAAGTGCACACGGTACAGCCTCCCCTGTGTCTGTCACACACAGCTCTGTCCCCTGGGCTGTGCTGGCAAGTCCAATACACCCAGTCTCTGCTCAGGGTCTCCCTTGATGGCCCATTGCTAACTCCTCAGGCACCCACACAGTACTGGGTGCTCTGTAAAAAGTCCTGGTATATGTAACACCTGTGAAACCAGCTGAAAAAGCCTCTCCAAGGTAACAGCACACACTGCTTGGACACACCAGACAGATGTTGGAGACCAACATGTTTTATCTAGGAGCACTGGGCTGCAGCAGCACAGCTGGTTTGGAATGTCACCCCTTTACTGTCACAGCTAAAGGGGTGATGAATTTGCTGGTACTGTGGCAGCCAGTGAAGCCCTCCCAGCCCTCAGCACAGAGCTCCTCACAGCCCTCCTGGTGCTGCCCTCTGCCAGCAGACACAGCCCTCTGTGCCATCACCCTGGAACAGGCAGGTCTGAACCTCCCAGGTACAGCCTGGCAAGCAGGCTGGGTCTGCAGGGCTGTGCCTGACCATGACCTTCAAAGAAAAGTGCAAAACAAACCAACTCAGAGATGAACAAACCTCCAACACCTGAGAATCTCACTGACCACGCTGATGCCACTGTGTGCGACCTGGCAAACCAGAATCTTCTCATAAGCAAACTTTGATTTCTTGCCTTTTCACACTTCCTCTACAATGTTACAAAAATTTTAAAAATCCCATTTTTTGTTAAGTTAAAAAATAACTTTGATCTGCAGTATTTTTCAATGCCTCCTTCAGTGAGTGCCAGGGCAGCAAAGCACTTACTGTTCTGGGCTGGGAACCGACGTCCTGCGTCCCTCTACTCCGATGTTGCTCTTGGGTCTCTTGACAACATGAGGCCTTGGGGGGCGAACCTGTTACACACACAGAGACCTCTGATCAAACACTTCACCTGATCCAACACCAGACACAAATCCCAAACACACATCATTTTAATTATTATTTGTTGGGGGAGGAATTTTTTAAATTTTTTTTTTAAATTTTTTTTTTTTTTTTTTTGTATTTTTCTTCCCAGGCACATAAACCTCAAATTCTCCAGCCAGGAAAAAGCTATCAGATCACGTGCAGTGCTCCTGCCCTGCACAGCAGCATGCAGAAGGTAGCAGCAGCATTATTGCATTGAATTTTCATTTCAAAGGAAATGGTGCACAGCAGATATGATAGAGAAATCCAGAGCTGTATTGCCACTATTTCTTAGGAAAAAGGGCTTATGAAAAGGTCAGATGTTAAGGTCCTGGAGATCAGTCCCCACACAAGGCTGCTCCTCTCTACAATAAAGACGGCTTAAGAATGTGAATTTATGGCAGGAATGGAAGGATTAAGTTTGTGGCAACTTCAACTGAACTTGCAACGTGGTGAAACATGGGGAAAAGAACAACAGAGCTAATTAGAGGAGCTGAGCTGTCAGAGCGCGGCAGAATGGCTCGGTGCCAACAAACAAAAGGAATGGGCTGGCAATCAGCAGGATCGATGAAGAATACTGCTTCATTAGGGCTGATAAAACAGGCAGAGACGAGAGAGGAGAGGGGGGAGTGAGGCAGGAGGGCCGGGGAGAGGGGAGCACCGCGGAGGAAGGGGGAAGGAGAGGGAGAAAGCAGCTGTTTAATTAAACGGGAGCTGGGAGCTGATGTGCAAAGCTGGGTGTCACTGGCTGGGGACACTTTCACCTCTGGGGGTGTGCTGGGAGCAGGGGCACAGAGCACAGTTTGGGGTGGCCCCGGGGGCCACCGGCCCAGGGCAGAGCAGGGTGACGTGCCAAGGGGGATTTAGGGCATTGTTCAGGGGGAACTGCAGGAAAAGCCGGGAATCAAGTCATTCCTTGCTGGATTTTGAGCCTCACATAGAAAAACAGGCAAGGTTAAATGCTTATCAAATGCAAAAGTATCAAAGAAATCCAATTACGTGAGCACACTGCCAAAAGAACAAAGGTAAACTCCCAGGGCAGAAGGGCTGAATGTGCTTATTACTGTCCCCATCAACATTAGGCATAATTATTATATTTTAACTTTTTCTAATTGAATAAAGTTTCCAAACAGCCACTGTTAGACCAAACAGATCTCCATTAATTATAAGCAACAACCCTCTCTCTTTCATAATACCACCACAGCTCATTTCCAAATCAGCAGAATGCAAAGAACATCTCTGTTCTGCTTCCTTAGCCTTTCTTTGGTGTGTGTTTTTGGCTTTATTATTAGCAGTGACTCATATTGCAAGCACCAGTGCCCATGGAGTCCTCCCTGCAGCAGTAAGAATTTCCCAGGAATTCTGCTCTTATGTGGCCCTAGTTGGAAGAGCAGAGGGACCTGTCCTCCCTCAGTGCTTGTGCACAAGGCCAGGATCACTGACTTGCTGGTACCCACCTCTGGAATAGCTGCCAAGACTGAGAGAGGGGAAAAGCAGCTGCACAAAGTATTATTTACACACACACAAATGTGTTTCAACTATTAAAAGCCAAATAACAGTTCTGAACAACAACAAATTTATGTATATTTGGTACAAGCATATTTTTGGGAGTGATTATAATCATTTACATTTATCTTGAATTTCCTCTTGATGAATGAAGCCTTTCTGTTCCACTTATTGACACAGCCAGATGAATGCAACAGGAGCTTTCATTATTACATTTCCAACCTTTTATCAATCACATTGGGAGCAAAGACAGTTGAACCAAACACATCACAGGGAGGACTATTAATGCACTACAGCTGGGAGATTAAACAGTCTTAGCATGTAATAAATGTATAAACGTAATAAACCCGTGTCATAAATGACTCCATCTGAACAACACTGTTCAGCAGCTCTGGTGCAGAGGAATCACAACATGCCCTCATACACCTGCCAGCCATGGAACACGAGGGCACTGAAGCACCACAGGAACCCCACGGAACAGGGAACGTCTGATCCTGGTGGAACAACCTGGGGGAGTCTCCCATGGCAATCACATTTAACAGAACACACATAAACATAGTCAGTGCTCCTTTTTAAACACAGAAAACAGAAATCTTCAGAGCAAAAATCCATAGAAGTGACTCTGTTAAGCTGGACACCCAGAGTTAAGAAGGAGGAGAAGAAACACATGCTATTGAAATCTAACACAGTAACATGCACCAGAGATCAAAAGTTAAAACACACACCCAAGTGCACTTGTTAACCAGTTACCTGCTCATCCATATTTTAACAAGTTTTAGCAAGACTAGATTTGAAAACTTGCATCTCTCTCTTTCTCATGAACATGTGTGTATGTGTAAGGAAGCAAGAAGTAAGATGATTTGGGGGAATTATATTCATGAAGCTGAAGTCCTGAATAGACATAAATATCTTCCAAGGCTGTTGCAAAAACCAACACCCCTCCTAAACTGATACCCGTTGCCTGCCCTACCACAAAAAATAAAAATTTGGTGCAGATCCAGCAGAGTCTCCAGTTTTAAAGCCATCTGGCAGAGTTCATAGATAACAACTGTCCTACAGGGAGCGTTTTGGGGCAAAAACTGCTGAAATAAGGTATCCCTGCCTAACACAGGACAGGTACTGCACTGCCAGTAATTTCTGTGCAGTCCTTCCATGGCAGAGTCCCTTCCCCTGGCCAACCTGCCATGCCTGTTTTACACTGGAATGACTCAGTGTATGTCCTCCACAGTGTGGTACCAGTGTCCTACTGCCCAAACATCCACCTGCTTTCTTCAACTCTACTCACACAGCTGTCCCATGGAGAAGAATTAAGCATCCCAAAGTAATTTAAAGCATAACTTGCAGAGAATAAATATTTTCTCTTCAGACTTCTGCTTCCTTTCATATTTGAGTTCAGTGCAAGTCTTCAAAAGCTCACTGGCTAAAAACTTCTGCCAGCCCAGCAGGGCTTTCTGGGTAAGCAATCCCCGCAGAGGTCAGAGGAGCCTGGCAGAGCAGCCCCGTTACCTGCAGAGCTGCCCAGAGCTGCAGGACTCCAGAGAGAAGCAGAGCCCCCCGGGTGCCGGGCTGAGAGAGAGTCAGGAGCACAGCTCACACGCGGCTTGTGCAGCTGGACAGTCCCAGGGCCAGGTTTAGTAGTGCTGGAGGAGGCAGCTCAGGCAGGGTTAAGCTGTGCAGGGAGACAAACCCCAGCTACTCACGGGCCGGGCCGAGCGCTGGATCCGGGGGGGCGGCGGCCGGGGCGGGCGGAGTCTGTGCTGCGGCGGCAAAGTGGAAACTGCATTAAAGTCACCTGCAGGGAACACTCCCACCTCCTGGCACAGGCGGCACGGGCAGCTGACAGCACGGCCTTCACCTTCATACTCACCTCGCGAAAGGCCCTTTTCCTTATTTGATTTTTCCAAAACAGTGGCAAATCCCATGACCTGAGACTTGCCACGAAAGGACAGGTCCCCACGTCTGCTGCTGACGTGGGCTGGACACAGCTGCTGTCACACCAAAGGCAGCAGGAGCAGCACTCCAGACCAGTCAGCCAAAATTTACTGAGACAACAAAGATGCTCAAGGGGGACTCGTGGCCCTCGAGGTTCAAATGTTCTAGACTACATTTATGCCAAGGGAGAGCAGGATACTCAAAAATGCTTTCACTAAAACCTCAAGAGTGGTTTCAGTGCTTGTGAAGGGTTATGGGAAAGGCCTCAAACCAGACATTTAAGAGCACGGGAAAAACCTTCCAGTTAAACTTTCCATACACTTGGAGGTGAGCACGTGCTCAGCTCCTGTCCTGGCTCGAGGTCGGAATGCACTGCCCAGACGACATGGCCTGGAACTCAAAACTACTTGTGCAAGTGTTTCTTTAGCTCTGTGTAAGTGAAAATAAATACACTACAAATACCCAATGCATTTATATTACAACAAACTACTCCTTTGCAGGTGACAATACTTTCATATCCTTATCCTGTCACTGCATTATTTTTTCCAGCTGCGATTTAGATATCACACATGATTAAGCTTTCATCTCTGATCAAAAAATAATTCTATGTGTTTCCACAATAAAGACACATACAAATGCTGCTCTGGGAAAAGATTAAAGGTGTAGAAACTTTTGTGTCTCTTGGACTTCTAAACAGGCATCGTGTTAACTCTCAGAACTGTGACCCCAGTGCTTGTAACAACACAGGCAAATCCAACTCACACTCAGATTTATCTTACCCACTGAAGTGCTACCAGGAACACAGTTTGTTTTGAGGCCTCGGATGTATTGCATTTCTGAGCCCTGAAGAGATCTGAGCAGAAGAGTGAGCCAAGCTGCACATTCCCAGGGCAATAGGATGGCTTGGATCAGTGCTGGGCAGCACAGAGCAGGCAGGGGGCAGTGGGCACGACACCCTCGGTAACAGGGCTTCATTTCCAGCGTTGCTCTCACTGTCTGCCACCACAACGGGACAGGCAAGCGTGTTCCAACTCTGTGCACACCATATTTACTGGAAGAGCCACTGATTTGAAGTTAATTTGTTAATGCAGCAAAACACATTGTTTCTGAAAGGTCAGCAGGTGAAGCTGTGTTGGAACATCAACTTAATTACCTGGGCTGTGAGGAGGCTGGGCAGGAACCAGCACAGGGCTACAGTGCTAAAAGCTGTTAAATTGCTGCTCTAGGTACCGTCCTAAATGTGTGTACTCTTGTTTTCTGTGAAGGGGAGAAATGTCTAAATTAGCACTTCCTCACCAGTAGCTGTTTACCAGCATACCTTTTTCCTCTGGATATTTGCTTAATTGTCTTGTTCGAAATACTTCTAAAGCAACAGGACAGAAAATTTGCAGAAAGCCAATTTTATGGCTGCAGATCTGGCACTGGTTTACTAATTATCAGACAAGTGACTTAAGCTATGAGATGCTGGAAGAAGAAAAATCTTATATTCCTTTTTACACTATCAAAATACTAC